CAGGATTCTTTGGAAGGAATGATAAAATATGAACACCGCCCCAATATATTTCTAGAGCAGGGAAGGGAACTTACAACCCTTCAGATGTTGTTAGATTTCAACTCATCATCCCTCACCATTGTCTATGGGAATTGGACTAGAACATCTCGGGGATGGAAGCAGAGGTTCTCTATCCCTGACCCAAAATGAAACAACCTAACCTTACAACTGTGAAACCATTAGTTCTTCAAAAATTCTCAATTTTTTGTGGAATTAAAGAATGGGTACTTTGTATGCTTACATCCCACCTGCATTCCATATAAAGAAATGATGGACCAGGCCTTTTCAGTATAAGAAGAGAAACTGGAAGTGGATATATTTATTGAAATGATGCTAGTATGACTAGAACAGTAGTAATCCTGCAACAAGGACTCCTGCTCAAAGAACTTTGAACAAAGAGCTTTGATTTTATAGTCTCTAAATGTGAATATGGCAATGGGTAACCAGAATTGCCACTTGACTGGTTTAAAACCACCCTGGCTGGTTTTGTGTGTGTGTGTGCGCGCACACACGCACACACTTTCAAACTCATACACAGTGACGGATAAGTACTTTGGCAACTGGCTTGGTGGGTTCCAAGTGTTGCAGTCTGCCCTGAATGTAACGCATAAAATTATTTGGATATTCTTCATTTGGTTATTGCTAGGTTAGTTCCAGAGTCAACAGGCCCTGAGAGATAAAGGGAGATAATGAAGTGGAAAGTATCGAATCCTAACTACAGAAAAACGATAGAACTGCAGGCTCATGTTCCCAAGAGTCCCAGTGCAAAGTGGGGTTCCACAAATGAGACTTGAGAGATCCATGAAGAGCACAGTGTTCCACTGCAACTGAAGCCTCGGGATACCTGCTTGCAGTAATAGTGGAGCAAATTGCTCCAGGTGGCTCAGGCAAACTGAGCAAAGCCATATCCTACAGGGAGTAGAGGTTTTGTTTTGCTCTTTTAAGGACTGCCACATGTCCAGAATTTCTTGGACATATCCAGGACTCCCCTGCCAAAAATAGGATCCAGGCAGAATTTGGTTAAAATGTCTGGGAAATGCAGGCATATGGCAGCCCATATCAGTGCAGATTTTTTTACGAATTTCCCAAAAAATAAAGTTCAACAACTTCGCCAAACAACAACAACAAAACTCCAGATTTTGTGTCTGGATTTTCCCTTTTTGAAATATGGCAACCATAGCTTTTTGTTTCTTTTTGAAACCCAGCCAATATATCTTGGTAGAAAATTCCTTATCAGCTCCAAATATGAGAGTGTATGAGGTCCTAAATGTGAAAAAAACCCCATTCTGTCTTTACAAAATACATTTAATTAGAATGAAAGTCTGAGTCACCTATATCCATAACCCTCGGCTCCATCTGAAAAACCCTTTTAAGACCACAACTGTGGGCCCAAATGAAAATAGTAAGAAATATATTTAAATTTTGTTTTGAAACTGGACAAGTTCTGTGAAAAGTAGGGTTAAGGTGTTAGTGATACAAAGGAAAAGCATAGGAAGGAGGTGGTGGTCCTGGGACCCTGTGCTACATTTTGCTTGTGTTTGCATTTGATGTCACTGAGGCTACAGAGAGCAAAGCAGTTTGGACTGAGCCTGTGCACAAAGCTCTTCCAGTGGATAGTAGTTTAAAGGTAAAGGTAAAGGAACCCCTGCCCGTACGGGCCAGTCGTGTCCGACTCTAGGGTTGCGTGCTCATCTCGCTCTAGAGGCCGTGAGCCGGCGCCGTCCGAGGACACTTCCGGGTCACGTGGCCAGCGTGACGAAGCTGCTCTGGCGAGCCGGCACCAGCGCAGCACACGGAAACGCCGTTTACCTTCCCGCTATTAAGCGGTACCTATTTATCTACTTGCACTTAAGAGTGCTTTCGAACTGCTAGGTGGGCAGGAGCTGGGACCGAAAGACGGGAGCTCACCCCGCCGCGGGGATTCGAACCGCCGACCATACGATCGGCAAGCCCTAGGCACTGTGGTTTTACCCACAGCGCCACCCGCGTCCCGGATAGTAGTTTAAGAACATATAAATGAACCTTGCTGAATCTGACTGAAGTGCTATCTCAGGTATGGGGAACCTCTTGCCTGCAAGGCTTGTGTCTCAAACCATGCCTTTCTGCCCCATTATCTGACATCTCAAGTGATGTCATGTCTTGGCCAGGTAAACACATGGTTCTGCTCCAGTATCCTGTTTCCCAAACTGCCCAACCAGATGCCTCTGGGATACACAAAATATCCACATTGTAATACTGCCCCCACCTCCATAAGTTAGCTCTGATATGCACATAGAATGGAATTCCTCCGCATTTACCATAGCCCCTATTTATATCAGTGTCAAAGTAGCCACATGTTCTGCCTTATGGAGGACGGTCCTGCATTAGATAGAGTCCTCTATCTGAAAGGCTGTTGGAAGTTGATGGCTGGAATATTTCTGTGTATTCGCAATGTATTTTTCTATTTCTTTTTTTAAGAGATGTATTGTGGGTTTTTTGTTCTGTTTTCTTTTTCTAAGTTTTTTGTGTGTGTTGATTTTAAACCAGTAAAGATTGAATTAAAAAGAAAGAAGAAGGGGGTGCTGCTGCTAATGGATGAAGAATCATGTGGGGGAGAGGAGGGGGGAGCCTTGAAGTTGTCAATCAACAGTTAGTACCTGGGCAGTAATTCTAAATGTGCATATATACACAAAAGTTAGGGGGCAATTATGCAAATTATTAGTAGCTCATGAAACATGATGCAAGATCAATTATCAGTTACAAATTCGAGACTGTATGGGAATTAACTGAAGTCAGTCCTGGATAAAGTGAACCCTTTATCTGTTTGAATGAAATGTTGACTCTTTCACAGCCTCTCCACTATTTAAACAAGGTAGTGTTTAAACAGAGCACTTTCGGAATAAACATCAGGGAGGGGATGAGATTTTTAAAATGTAAGAAAGCGCTGTTAATTTCCAATCTAGTTCATATTGTACAGTGTGAGGAAGTGATGTCAATTTATAACCACCAACTTACTTGAAATGAAATGTTCAGAATCATTGTAAAGGGTGCAGTGACTGTTTCTGCTGAATAATATATTAAAACCATTATCATCCAGCTGGATCATGAAATTATATATAAACCACTGTAAGAAAATGCTGCCCAGTTCACTTGGAAATAAGTATGCATGGGAATGAAGTCATTTAAAAAATCGATTATTTCCCCACATTACTTCAACCCATTCTATCTGGATACTTGAGTGTTACATAAATGTAGTCCAAGATCTTGCAGTCAATTGCTGATATTGTGTTATCTAGAATAAACAGTGGTGAAAAGGTCTTCATGGGAATTCTGAATCTGGGCCAAAACACATACATAATGTTGCAACCTGGTGGTGTTATTTACTTAAGGATCCCAATAAAGAAAGGTAAAGGCCCAACTCTTACTTGGTTATGGCCAAAGAAAAATCACATGTACATCAACATTAACATGTACATCAAAATAAGGCATTTTTACACCCATCTGTTTCAGTTGGACAACAGAGCACATGTATAGTTCTCACTCACTTAAATTAATGGTATGTAATGGGTATTTTATGTATACCTATAAAATCTACTATATTTATAGAAAAGGCAAAGTAATCACTTTTGTTATCTAATTACCGGTACTAATCACGATTTTGTAGTCACCTAGTGCTGGGTGGGTGGCTGTGATTAAAACAAAACTGACCTATTTATGCTCTGTGTTTGGGAATAAATCTGGTTGATTTTAATGAAACTTCAGTAAACATACATAGAATTGGGCCACACATCAGATTTCTGTAAGGGGTACATTTTGTCTCACCAGAAAAAAATGCCTTGCTATGCATCTGCATACTGTGTAGTGTAGTGGTTAAGAGCGGTAGTCTCATAATCTGGGAAACCGGGTTTGAGTCTCCGCTCCTCCACATGCAGCTGCTGGGTGACCTTGGGCCAGTCACACTTCTTTCAAGTCTCTCAGCCCCACTCACCTCACAGAGTGTTTGTTGTGGGGGAGGAAGGGAAAGGAGAATATTAGCCGCTTTGAGACTCCTTAAAGGGAGTGAAAGGCGGAATATCAAATCCAAACTCTTCTTCTTCTTCTTCTACTCTTAATATCTGACCACCATTAGATTCTTAGCACTTACTAAGCAGGAACAATGAAGCAGATTTTCCTTTAATGTTTGAACCTTTTACCAGAGTTTGTTAACTTATCCGTTTATTCATTCATTATCGCATGACTTTCTCCAAAGAAATTGGAAATGGGAAAGACACATCTAAACATGTCTAAATTCCTCTCAATGTTAAAAAAGTGTGAAAATTAAAATACGCTTCCGTTAGCGGTTACTTTTGAATTTTCAAACATTAGCCTTAGCTTGAACTGCCAGAAGGATTGCCTTAGTTGGCACCTTTGCAGCAGAAACTCCAGCATCACTGCAGAAAACTCCAACAGCTACTGCTTTGTAAAAGAGAAGGCATTGTTGTGTTTCCAACCCAACCACATGTTTTGTAGCAAAACAACAGAGAACTGCAAAGATTGTCCCCAACGTTCCAGCGCATGAAAAAGTGGTCAGCACGTGCCCACACAACTTCTGTGTTTTCTAAGCTCTGCTTTAAAGGTAAGAGGTCTGAGTGGAAGGGAAAGATTGAGGGCGAGGGCAGTAAACAAAACGTGGGGAAACGTTGTTCCAACAAAACAAAACAAAAGCTAAGGTAACACGTAGTAACAAACACAACCCAGATCTCCTAAGACACAGCTCTTTATTAATGCATTGTTTCTTTAAATCCCTGCTCCTCCATGAATGGCTCCATTTGCTGATTTTTAACAGCGATGCGTTTTTCCAAGGGTTAAAGGCAGGCGACCGAGAGCGCCTGTTGGCTGAGATGCCTCCAGATAGCCAGCCTTGCGCTGGCAGCTCGCTCGCCCCTCCCGCCGACGACGCAAGGCCTTCCCACTTGGTGGGTGGCGCCCAGGCTGCTGCTACCGGGTTAGGTTGTGGCTCCCTGCGTGTGTCTATAACTTTGTGTTGCCGCCGCTGGTTGTTAGGAGAAGGAATGTGGAAGTCAGCAGAGCGGAGGGCGGCGGGCTGCTCGCGCGAGCTGCAGAGGCGCCCTTCGTCCCCGCCAGTGGCGCCTCCTCCTCCTGCGCTTCTTCCAGGCAGGGGGATCATCCGCGTCGCTTTGTTTTAAAGGCTTCTTCCTCTGCCTAAGGCGAGACGAGCTGGAGGGAACCGTGCTAGCAGGAGCCATACAGCAAGAGCAGCAGCAGCAGCAACGCTGCGTCTTCCTATTCCTCCTGTGAATTCCGACCTGGATTTTCCGCCGTCCGAGCTGCTCGCTGCTGCTTGGAACCTGCCGCCCGCCCGCTCGCTCGCTCGCTCTCTCCTTCGTCCCTCCCTCCCTCCCTCCCTCTCTCCCTCCGCCTGCGTGACCTCCCGCTCTGCCTTTTCGCCAAGGCTTGTTTAAATGACTTGAGTGAAAGAGGGGAAACTGTCAAGATGGCAGCAGCAGGAGCGAGGAGGTGATGAGCGGGGTGGTGTGGATGCTGGAACGAAAACCTTGGCAGCCCTAAAGGACGAGGACTCCGGGCTTCTGGACCTGTTGGAAGACCGGCGATTTGACTTGTCTTTGCTCTCTTTCCCTCTCTCTTTCCCCCACGTTGAAGATTCGGATTTTTTTTAAAGCACAGCAGAGCGTGAGTTTCCCGGTGTTGTTGTTTCCCCCCTCTGCGCCCCCTTTTTGGGTTTTTGTTTTTGCTTTTTGGGGGGCGAAGAGGAACGGAGCAGGCGCGATCGGGTGCGTTTTAAGACTTCAGTTTCCCAGCTAAGCTGTTTCGAAGTCAGCGGCGGAGAAGGACTCCTGGAGCCGAACAGAAAGCGCCCGCCAAATCAACAAGCAAGAAGAGACTCGTGGCTCCCTCTTTATTTTTAGGCGTGCGGAGGGGGAGAGAGCCCGCGGGAAGTGGTCTCTTTAATACATACCGCGAGATGCTATTGGAGCAATCCTGCACGGGGTGAAAGATAAACAAACACACGGGCGCGCCGCCGCGGAGATTTGCTTTCCCACTCTGCAAGGGTTGGGTGTTATTTTTTTTGGGGGGGGGGGCTGTTTCTTGCAAAATCGGCGCCCCTCAGGATCCCGAGGAAGAGGACGCACCTGGAGCCGGCTTGACCACCTGATCGTTTCTTTTTCCCGATTGATTTTATTGGTTGTTGTTGCTGGCGGTAGGGAAGGAGAGGTGGCGGGGTGAAAAGGAGGCGGCCGGACCTTTAATGGAGCGTGGCATGTTTGTACAACCTCGCTGATCGCTGCTACTAGGAGGTGCGAGAGGAGGAGGCGGAGGAGGAGGAGGGACGGCCGAGGTGTGGATCGGGCTCCTCTTCCCTGACATCCCCACTTGGCAGCGGATCGGCAGGCAGGCAGAGCAGCCTCCAGAGCGGGGGAGAGGCCAAGATGGCAGAGGCGTCTCCCCCCGCCCCCTTGTCCCCCGTGGACGTGGACCTGGACCCCGAGTTCGAGCCCCAGAGCCGCCCGCGCTCCTGTACGTGGCCCCTGCAGAGGCCTGAGCTGCAGGCGAGCCCGGCCAAGCCCGCGGGGGAAGCGGGCGCCGACGCCGCCTCCATGATCCCCGAGGAGGACGACGACGTCGACGACGAGGAGCAAGGGGGCAGCTCGGCCATGGCCGTCGGAGACGCCGTCCCTAGCGGCGGCGGCGGAGAGGCGCTGGCCCCGGAGGACACGGCCCGCCTGCTGGCGCCTTTCTCGGGGCTGTCCGGCGACGGGTCCGGCCAGGGCGCCAGGGCGCCGAGCGGAGGGCAGCAGCCGCAGCAGCCGGGGGCGAGCGGGGCGGCGGCGGCGCCGAGGAAATGCTCGTCCCGCCGAAACGCGTGGGGGAACTTGTCCTACGCGGACCTGATCACTCGCGCCATCGAGAGCTCCCCGGAGAAGCGCCTCACCCTCTCGCAGATCTACGAGTGGATGGTGCGCTGCGTGCCCTACTTCAAGGATAAGGGCGACAGCAACAGCTCGGCCGGCTGGAAGGTGAGCGCGCGGCGGGCGGGGAGGAAAGTTGGTGGTCGGCCGGGCGGGTGGCTGTGCGAACGGGATCTCCTGTGTGGGTCACACGCTCTCTCCAGTCTCGTATTCCTTTCTTACTTTTCCTCAAAGTAGTGGAAACCCTACCCTAACCCCCCCCCACTCCATTGCAGGATGTACATGATCCTCACGCGCAAGATCTTCTGTGTTAATTAGTGCAGAAAAACGACCACCCCTCTCTATCTCCGTTTGTTTCCCAGTCATAACAAGCGCCAGCGCTGAACCTCCCCTCAGAACGCATTGAAAGGGCGGGAAAATTCCTACTCTTTTAAAGCTCTCAAAAAACAGAACAAAAATGCCGTCGTGGTTTCTGAGGGTGGGAAAAAGTGGTTTACGAGTGTTAAGGTGGGGGGGAGGAACTGGTTTTTGTTCAGTGTTACAAGTGACTTTGTGAGAGTAGGGTCTATTTAACTCCGTTTTTGACCCAACAAAACTTGAGTTCTCTGACATACACTTGAACTGGTTTTTCGTGGTCAAGATCAGCAAGCCTTGCTTAAAAAAGAAACCTCACAAAAACCACCACCAAACACACTTGACCCACATCATCAACTAACCCACATTTCTAGATTATAGCCTTCTGTTGGTAGGAGGTGGAGGAGATGCCCGTGTGGAAAAGGTGACTGCGTGGACATGTTCACAGAGCGCTTTCTCTCATGCAGTGCACCCACCCGTGCAGATCTCCCCTTCTCCCCTAGGCTTTAGGCCTGGTTCATCCCATCCACAGGGTGTGATGGGGCAATTGCAGAACAACTTTCCAAAACTAGTTCTTTGCTGTCCTCTGCAAGGGTGACCCTCAAGGTGTTATGAGGAAACATCAGCGCCTCTCTCTCAGGGATCCTGCTTCAGGATCAGTCGATAAGGGTTCTTTAAGAGCACCTTTACTTTGCCTGGCTTAGGCTCTGATCTCGGCACCTGCTGCTGCCTAAGCTAGACCAATGTCTTCTCAGTCAAACGCGACCTGTGGTCCCCTCCTGTGTTAGCAAAGCAGGAAGCTTCTAACTTATGCCAGAAATGAGAAAGAGCATGTCAGTGGGGTGTCTATTTACATGTTGGTGTGGTGTGTTTGTGCTTGTTATTTTCTAGTAGCCAAGACTTGTGGCTAAACCCCTAAACTGTGGAATCGGTACTGTTCAGCAGATAGGGAAGCAAAACAATCCCCTGTTTAAATCTGCCATGTGGGAGACTGTCCTTTGTTTGATGGGATTATATGCATGCAGCAGCCTCTGAACCTACTGAGCTAAAAAATAAGTGAGGACATCGCTTGCTTTTTGTATTTCTCAATATTTGTGTATTTACACTGCCACAGTCTTTTATTTTACATTTTAAATTCCTTTGTTCAGCAAAAGACAAGACCCAAGAAATGGAAATTAAGAACACTTTTAAATAGCAAGCAATGTAAATAAGTGCATCTAGAGAGGGCAGGATAGTATTTTTAAAAAGCAAACAAACCCAGAACCTCAAGATGCTAAATAGTTAAGAGTTATAGAAAGCAATATCTGTTGCTAGTGGCGTGAACTGGATAGCTATTTCTTCACATTAAATAGCCACACAGATTATGGCATTACGTGCATCGGTATGTAAAAGGCACCCCACAGCCTTTTAAATAGTGCTATACAATAACTTGAGCTAGGAATTATAACTCCTGTTTGTACTCACGTACTGTCTTTTGTTGCTGGTGACATTTTAACACATAAATGAGATGTGGAACACTGGCACTTTTTGAAATGCTTCCGTCTGCTAGTATTACAAATATATACCATTCTACTTACATCACCCATGCTTCTTAGAGGTAGTTGCTTAGACAGGACAAAAGTTTTGCAATGGTCAGGCACTATGACTTTGTATGCAGAGGGTCCCAGATTTGGTCTTTAACAGCTCTAGGTAGGGGTAGGAAAGACTCCTGTCTGAAAACCTGCACAGCTCTCGCCAGTCACTGTAGCTAGTTGGACTAATGGTCTGATTTGGTATAAGGCAGCTTGCGACAATCGGCAGCTGCTGCCAGTGACTTACAGTGGCTGGGTGTTTGAGCCCCACCAGCAAATGTCTGCACCATAGTGGCACAGCACATGGTTTCTGTTCAGAAGGTCCCAAGTTCAACCCTGGAAGATCCTCCTGTCTCTCAAACCATGAAGTGCCAAGAATCTTAATGGTCTACAAAGGCAGCTTTCTATGCCGCAGATTAATAGGATTCTCCTCCTGCAAAATGCTTTTTCGGAAGGAAGTACCAATGAACGTGGGTGAAATTTGACTAATTCATACTTAGGATAGACCCACTGAAATCAGTTGACTTAAGTCCACTGATTTCACTGGGTCTGCTTTGAATATGACCATAACTAACATTGATATCATCCTGTGGTTTTGTGTGTTCACTTTGGAGTAAGCCTCATTGAACAAGATGGGACATCTGCTCCACTGACTATGCATAGGATCACACTCATGGCACATTGAAGCTCCATGGCACAGTTGAAGCTTATATAGGGTTTGCCGTTTGGGGGCCGGCTGCACATTATGCACAGATAATTGTGTACTGGAACTCCAGTCCTCATATTTTATTTTTTATTTTTTAAAAAGCTTCTTAGGAGGAGGCACCTGAGAGTGTTACCCTTGTCATTACTGCCATTTTCCCATTCCAAAGCCTTTTCCCTGTTGGTGTTTAAAATGCTAACCTACCACATAAACTGGAATGGGCAGAGGAAGAACCATGTAAGTTGCCTTGAGCATCTTGAGGAAGGGTGGAAGAAAATAATAGTCATTTTGCCCTTTCTCCCTTCATGCCACCCAGCCACAGGCCATGGTGGATTGCCACAGGGAGAACATGCCATGCAGGATCAATCCTATCTAGTTCAGCATCCTGTTCTCACAGTGACCAACCAGGTGTCCATGAAGCCACGACGCAGGACACGAGCACAATAGCATTCTCCACATTAGTGATTCCCAACATCTGATATTTAGAGGCATCCGGATTATGATAATAGAAGCAATATAGACATTATGACTAGCAGCCATTGATAGTCTCCTCCTCCATGAATTTGTCTAATACCCTTCTAAAGCCCTTTAAGTTGGTGGCTGTCACTATATCTTGTGGAAGTGAATTCCATATTTTAACTCTGTACCGTGTGAAGACATATTCACTATCCCCTTAACTCTGCCAGTTTTCAACTTCACTGGATGACCCCGAGTTCTGTCCATCTTCTCTCTTTCAACTTGCAACCCCCTTTGAGTTTCTTGGAGGGAGGGTTTAATGAAACATGATATTTGAGTAAAAGTTGCTCTGAAAACCCATATCCCTCTGTCCCTCCTCTTCTCAGTTCCTGCTGAACCATTTGTTCTGTGTAAACAAAGTGCTAAGCCAGCAAAGCAAAAGATGACTATTTGCACTGGAGATGACCAGCCTTCACCCAGGGAGATGTGGATGCTATGACAGAGGCTTATTATTGCACATGGTGTACGCACCTCTATTGTCTTTGTTCACAGGTTCTGCAAGGTTTTGTAGACCTCCAAGAGCCAGCAAAACCTGTTTGACCAGAACTATTGGTAGGACAAAAGAAATGTGTGCACTACGTAACCGATGATGCCTCTGTCGTACCACCCTCAACTCCCTTTGAAAAGATTGTATTTAATGCTAGTGCTTCTCAGAGTCAGCCCACTGAAATTAATTAACCTAAGTTAATCATAGCCATTAATTTCAGTGGGTCTACCCTAAGGTCTGTCCCCATCCATAAACACATAAAATAGGAACCACTTCATGCATTACCAAATTCCTGTATTGGCAGGCATTCCTACACAACACTTTTCCCCCTCCGAAGTCAACAATTTGCATCTCCTGTGTAATAGCGATCACACCCAGGACTGGTGTCAGTGCATCTGTACATGTAATTAATCTGCCATGGTCATGTGGCACACCTGTGTGCACGTTAGAATTTTAGAGTTGTAGAGTTGGAAGGGACTGTGAGGATCATCTAGTCCAGCTCACTGCAATGCAGGAATTCTTTTGCCCGACATGGGAACACACAGAGATTAAGAGATGCACGCTGTACCGACTGAGTTATGTTATTTTCTTCATGAATGTGCCTATTGAGTGAGAATTTTGTAATTTATGGTGAAGTGGCCCTGAGTTTTTTTACACAGTTGAAGAAGAGTAGCAAGAAAATATTTTCTTTCATATTTAATATGTGACTTTCATGTCACATGAAAAATATATATACAGGTAATAAATATGGAAAGAAGGTGTTGATACAACACAGAACCATAGCAGATTTATTTTCTATTACAGTGGCCAAGAATAAATGCCGTGACTTTTTGCATTTGCTCAAATGTTGCCTATTGGACTTGCCTGATGCAGATCCCATGTACAAAGATTTTATACAGCTACAGTATCCGTCTTAGAGGCATGAATGAGTCCATGCATTCAGAATTCTATTAAATTTACAATGAAACTGTTTTCCTCTTAAATATTTTCATTTGATGGGAATAAAACAGAATGTAGACTGTTCAGTGGAAACAAGTCATTTGGAAGTTAGTTAGACACCTCAAGGTTTCTATTAGTAACCTTTTCATGTGTTCCAACTTCTCTGTAGGACACACCAGTAGAAGCTTAAATACAAACGAAGGGCTTTCAATCGTCGTGAACTGAGCATGGAAGGATCTCATAATTCAATACTAATAATAAGTAATGTCCAGCAGTTTAAAACAAGGGAGTGGTTATGTCATACAATACACATGTATTTTTGCATCATGTGCTGCATTTCCAAGAGTTACCATAAATGCACCATAAAAATGCCATAAAGTTTAGACGTGGGATGTCAGTTGTTGCTCTTCTGACAGAGCCTGCGTCGTTAGCAGATGTAGTTGTTTGGAGTCCAATCTGTAGTGCCAAAGCCTTTTAAGCAGCTTCCTTAAGAAAACTTTCGTATCAAATGGGCTACAGAGGATCGGTTAAAACAACA